GTGGTATGTGCGTGTGTGTGCGCACGTGTCTGTGTATACACTCAGACCCACACACGTATATTTTAAAACTGAAGAAACAGTTTGTTTGAATTTCTGTCTAGCAGAGCTTATCTATAGATGTTCTTAAAAAGAAAGTTCAGCATATATTTCTAGTGCTTGGAAGTGTACTGTAAAAACCATCTTCATTGTGGTAAAGCATGTATAGTTTGCAAGGCCCTTTCTAGAAAGAATCAACATAATTGCAAATATAATTAAAAAATTCAATTGAGATTTATTTTTCTGCCAATTCATTTTCATTATTTATTTGTCAAATTTTTCAACTTTAGAATGTTCAACATGGTCATTGCCAAAGTAAATATCAGAATACTTAGACAGAAGGTACTAATAGTAGGAAGTTTCTTATTATTAGGTGCTTATGATGTGACAGGCACATTGTGGCCTGTGCTGGGTAAATTAGATGCATTATTTTTATTTTTATTTTAAAATTTATTCATTGATTGATTTTTAATTTCAATAGGTTTTGGTTACATGGATAAGTTCTTTAGAGGTGATTTCCGAGATTTTGCACCCCTTACCCGAGCAGTGTAGACTGAACCCAATATGTAATCTTTTATCGCTCATTCCCCCTACTGCCATTTTCCCTCAGTCCCCAAAGTTCCTTATATCATTCTTATCCTTTATGTCCTCACAGTTTAGCTACCACTTTTAAGTGAGAACATTGGATATTTGGTGTTCCATTCCTGAGTTACTTCACTTAGAATAACGGCCTCCAGCTCCATCCAAGTTGCTGCAAAGGCCGTTATTTCATCTGTTTTACAGCTGAGTAGTATTCCGTGGTGTACATGTACCACATTTTGTTTATCCACTTGTTAGTTGATGGGCATTTAGGGTGATTCCATATTTTTGCATTTGCAAATTGTGCTGCTATAAACAATGAGCATTATTTTTAAACCTGACAAGGCTGCTACCAGGACAGTACTATTGAATTATTGGCTTATTTTACAGCCGAAATAATTGAGAATCAAATGACTCAGTGATTGAATAATTTTTCCGAGGTCTGAAAGCTGGCTGTATAGAGAATAACAATTAATCTAGCCTCACATTTTCAGTACTCTGTGATGTTAAAAAGTTAGCAAAAAGTTAAATAGCAATAATAATGATAGTGGCTAATATTTATTTAAATTTTAATATTTAATAGTGGCTAATATTTAATCATGTACCAGATATGATTCTAAGTGCTTTACAGTATTCATTTAATTCTCAAAACTACTTCATGAAAGAGATGTTAGTATTGTCACCATTTAGCATTTGAGGGAAACAAAATGCAGGATGGGTAAACACAAATGAAATGCTGTCAAAAAGCTAAGTTACTGATGTTGCACCCAAGAGGGGAGGATTGTCTATTTCATCAGTTATTATTTTCATTAATACAGTTGGTTTATACTTTTGCTCTATGAACTCATTATTTTAAGTTGAGTTTGGTAAATTTGAATTTTCTTTATTTTAGTAATTTTCTATTAGGAATGTAAATATTAATTAGTAATAAATGGAAGTAAAGTGAGGTGGAATAAGAACAGTAACAATGGGCTATTTGTGATTTCCAACCGGTCTTATTGATATGAACCTGTTTGTCACACAACGTAGAGAGAAGCTTCAGAACCTTTAAATTGAATTATCATGGTGAGATATTTTACTGTGTGGTACACTCCTAACACAACAAATGGCTGGAAATAGTTGTACAGGTTTATGTAATGAAACAATTAAAAAATATCAATTGATTATATTGAATGACTACATGCACCTGTAAACACATTGAACAAATAAGCGCAAATTTATAGGAGAAAAAGCAAATATCTGTATTCCTAGTGCTAAGTGATTCGAATTGTATTATTATTCAAATTGTATTATTAATTTTCTGTGAAACCACATTAACTTTTAAATGGGGAAGATACTGTTCCAAAGGATTTTTGTGGAAATTCCCTGAATTGTATCATAATGGACCCCTTTTAATTAGAATTTGCATGCTGATGTCTTGCTTAACCTTGATGATTCTAATGCTGTGAGATCAAAGAGCATTTTTTAAGATATTTTATAGTAAGGTTGAAGGATATTTCAATCTTCTGAATCAAATTCCTCTCATCAAACTTCTGTCAGACAACTTTCTTGTGTTCATAAAAATATGAATACAAATAATAACACATTTGAATTATGGTGTCATTATAAAGATAACTTGTGATTAAAGACTTTTTTAACTTTAGATTTACAAATCATTCATGATTAGCTTGGAATAAACTATCATTTTTGCAAATTAATGTAGGAAATAAAGACAATAGATACAGGTTTTATACATTCCTGTTAAAGATATTTTTTTTCCCATTGCTTAAATGCCTTTTTTTCTTTCAGATCAAACTGAAAAGGCAGAATAGCAACTTGATATTTTTGGCTACTAGGGCAACATTTGGCAGTTTTCAAAAAAGGAAACAGAAATGACTGATAAGTACATAAAAGTTTCACTAGAAGTAAAATAAATGCAAATGAAAACAATGAAATACTATGGTTTCCTATTCAAGTCGCTATATATATGTATATACACACACACACATATATATATATGCATTTGTTGTTGTTGTTTGAGACAGGGTATCACTCTGTTGCCCAGGCTGGAGTGCCAGTGGTGTGATCTTGGCTTACTGCAGCCACCATCTCTGGGGCTCAAGTGATCCTCCCACTTTAGCATCCCAAGGAGCAGGGACTACAGGTATACACCACCATGCCCAGGTAATTTTATTCATTTTTTAAATAGAGATGGAGTCTCACTGTGTTGCACAGGCTAGTCTCAAACTCGTTTTAAAAAATTCTTATTTAGGTTCTGGCTTGTGATGTGAGGGGCCATGTGCCCCTAGAGGCATCTACTTGGGTTATGCTCCTGACTTGATTGGATAACTCTGTTTTTCTCTAGATGCCATAACAATGGACATGTGACCGTTTGTTGGAAAAACACAGTTCTCTCAATTGCTTACTGAAGCTCATTCAGGCTGATTGGAGAAGGAAGCCACCTTTCCAGGGCAGTAGGTTGGTTGCAAAAGTGTGCCCAAGGCCAGTTTGCACTGCAGTGGGGGAGCCCTTAGAAAGAATGGGAGTAAAGGAAGGAGGAAGCAACTAGAAAACAACGGAAGGGACTTCAGATGGTGAGGCTTCTATTTAGTACTTATTTCAACTTTAGGCCTCCTGAATGGTAGAGGTGGTTACAGGAGGATATCTGAAACCTTGATTATATAATAAACTTCCTTCTATGACGGTGAGTCATTTCAGAATAGAAATGATGGAATAATTGGAAATCAAGTTGAAGGCTTAAACACGTCTGCTGGTATCAAACTGTTAGAGCAGCCCCGGAGCTATGGAAATAGAGGCATCTGGATGGAAGTTTGTATCCTGGGTTGGCACAGAGATTCCAGTTGAACAAAAACTCCATGAGGACCATGCCTAGTAGGTTCAGTCAAAGATACTATCCATTAAAGATCTTCTTGCCTATGAACAAAGGAAGAAAGTTACCTGTCCAGATGAAGGAAAATATAAACTCGCGTATAATCTGGCAAAGGCCTAACCCTCATAACCTACACCCTGCACTCTCATTCCAAGAGAGCCTAGGTAAACAGCCAGGGCTGGGTTTTCCTTGAGTGGCTGCCAGATGGGGTTAAAAATCTGCTTCTCACCTTCTAGGCTGTAGCAGTGGGGAGTTAATATAAAAAGAAACCACAAGATTTCAAGGGAAGAGGGACCACACTCATCTTCACAATAAAATGTCATTCTCAACCTAGAGCAGAGGCGCTCAAACATAGTATTAGAGATGCATCCCAAATAATGTTTCTGGTTAGTGGTTTACATACTGAATTTTGTAAATGCTTTACTTTTAGAAAGATTAAATTACTGTAGATCACAAGGGTAGCTATACAACAAAGTCACTCTCAGATATTTGTATGCCTTATTGAATTTGAAAAGGCAGACTTTCAACTATTAGTACATAAGCAGCTTTTGTTACATGTCGTCATAGCTAAAAGGTTGAATACTGCTCTTCTAGAAAAAGAGGGAGCCCGTGGGCAAAACAAAGCCTAGGCAGAATGCCGGGAAAGAGATGAGCTTTGTGGAGGTAAGCACAGTATCCCAAAACTGGGGGAAAAAGGAGCTTAGGAAATCTGATGCAAAGTGAACTAAGCAGGAGGCATGTTCGTGAGACTTTAGGAAGCAGGATTAACTCTCTGCATGTTCAAGTGGACATGCTGGTACTCAGTATTTATATTAGCACAGAGAAGAAGGCAGCAGAACAGTTAGACCACATTAAAGGCCAGTTCTTGTGGGGAGCAGGTTTATCTTTGGAGGTGGACTGGGTACCTCTACCCACAGTTACTCATGGGAAACTCGTTCCAAGGCCACACAGAAACTGTTCTTGTCATCTAGCCAATGCCAGCCAATTGGTCCAATTTCACAGTCTGCGCAGACCAGAAACTTGATGTTTCCCACGTCCTTGGTGAAGCCTACATTCTCAAAAATGAACATGTCCTCAACCAGCCAGTGTTCCTGGAGGAAATTACCATCAGGATTGCTGCCGTCAGATAGAGCTGGCTTCTTTCTCATGGAGGGAAAGCAAACGGTGAGCCGCCGCCAAGAGGTACCTGCCGGGTCCTGCAAGCCGGCGGGAGCTCCGGGAGCCTGAATGGGGCGCCTGCCTTCCACGCGCCCGCGGAGCAGCGGCCCTGGAAGGCGGCGAGGCCCACGGCCCGCGCTGGAAGCCGCCCCAGGGGCGGAGGGCCGGGTGCAAGATATTTAAGAATAGCTTATTTCCACTGCAGTTCAGTATACATTACATATTGAGGTGTATATTGCACATCATATTTCAGTGTATCATTTCTAATTTAGATATTAATTTTAAATTATTCATCAAATACTGTATTCCTTTCTTTGTTATATTGATGAGAATATATTACCAACAGTAATATATTTTTTTGCTTACTTTTCCTGCTGTGCTCATGTTGTTTCTGTCTTCTCTGCAGACCAGGAGACTGGTGAGTCTTTGTGGATTTCTTCTCTGCTTGAGTTCATGAAGCAGATATATTGCACAGACATTTATTTTGTTGCCTGTGTAACATCCAATTCCAATTCCACATGTGACCGATGTCTTTAAGCCACACCCATTGGATTATTCTCAGACTGTCAAAACAAAGAAAAGGGTACTGAACCAGCCATCAAAATATTGACTTCCAAATTCCAGATAAGATTTTGTTTTCATTAGGTTAAATATTAAGTTAAGGTGATAAATTGTAATCACTTTCTCTTTTCCTCACTCTTCCCCCAGCCTCTGGAATTCCTCGTTTCTCTTCTCTCAATGCCACATTGGTCGTTTTGCCTTGTATTTCCTTGGTCTGCACTAAGCTGCAACTCTGAATCCACATGGGGCGGCTAGGAAGGAAGAGGAGTAAGGAAACAGGAAAAACGAAGTAGGGCAGAGAGAGCACCCTGGTTGTCTTTAAAGCAGAGAATCAGACTCCTAATTAGTCACAGCAAAGGGGATCACTGTGCCTGGCAATTCTGCTCCACTCAAAACTAGTAAGTATGGATTGAACCCCTCCCTGTGTCAGGCACTAAGTTGGGTCCAGTGGAGTAGCAGTGATGAATAAGGCATGACCTCTGCCTGTGCCAAGAGACAGTATGGGGCAACGATGATGGCATGGCTTTTGGGACCAGGCCAACCCTATTCCTTACTTGTTCTGTGTTCTTGGACTTATTATTTCACTGACTTTTTTTTGCCTTAGTTTCCTTATCTGTAAGATGAAGATGAATAATGGCATCATTTTAAAGGACTGTTTAGTGAATAAAGGAAAAATCTATGTAAAACACTCATCATGGAGGTTGGCAGATAGGAGTACCCTCCAAAATGTTAGCTGCAATTATTATTCATAAAAGGAAGTTCACGGTTTATGGGGAAAAGACATACAGGCAACCAAGTCTACATATCAGCCTGACTGGGAAGTGCCCTATCACAGGGGTCAGTTAGTGCTTTGGGAACAGAGACAGAGTTGCTATTCAGAATGAAGGACTCGGGAGACATTGTAGAGGAACAGACATTTGAGGTAGATTTTAAATAATTGTGAGAAATGGAGCAAAATCCTCACTGGATCATTTCCATTGCCCTTTGATCAGTGTAACACATATCCTCATGACTTTCTAAGAATAGGAGTTTGATTTTTCTTTTATCCACACTTGGAGGCATCATAAAACTATACAGGCAACTATTTAATTAGATCTAGTCTGTCAATATGAACATGTTAGCACAAAGGACATATTTCTCTAAATTTGCCAAGGGAACACTTCAGTAAGCTTTAATTATGTAGGCACTGAGACTCATACCGAGAAACATTCACCCAATGGAAAAGCAAAGGAGGTCCTACGATTTCAGTTGCTTCTCATTTGGAAAGGTATAAGGGAAAGGAGATAGCCCCAGATAACCTGGCTTTAGCCTTCTCATCCAACTATTTCTCCCATTCTCCAATACAAGGCCTATGCTCTTTAGAAGCTTGTATCTCTGTGGTCCTCCAAAGAGGAATCCATTGCTCATTATGCTCTTTCTCTTCTTTTCTGTCCCTCTGGCCCATTCACATCCCACACAAACTTTGAGACCCACGACAAGGTCGCCCTTGTGGAGGTGTAATAACTCCATCTCACAGTCATGCTTCTCTTCTCTCCATCCCTGTCATACTAAAGATTGTTGAATTCTTGTGCTCCTTTATGTCAGGACAGACACTGTTCTATGAGCAGTCCCATAATGGAGAAGATTCAGTGTCTTCTCTTTAAGGGATTACATATTAGCAGTGGGATTGGCTGTGTTCAGGTAGAGAAGATAGCGAATCCTCCTGTGAAGCAGGAAGTGGTCAGTGCCAGGAGAAAGTTAAACGTGGAATCAAAAGAGGAAGACCCTACTTCGTCTTTGCATTGTGCACTCTCAGCTCTTAACTCAAGGAGTGGCACAGGGTGAGTGCTCAGATATTTGTTGACTAAATTAAATGAATAACATCTAATTTGAGAGTGAGGAAGCCTTGAAAGAAAGATATTTTATTAAGATTTACTAAGAAAGATGAGTTGCAATTGAGAGTTATAGATCCAATTAACATATGGACAAATAATCTTGAAAACATTTTTCTCCCCTAGTACCCCCTTTTATACATTTTTCTGCTTAATCCTCTCTCACACCTATAGACAGAGCATTTCAAGGAATTATAGCCACTACCACCTTGTTTTCAAGGCCCTAATGGATTTGGAAATGTGATATCCACTTATGAGCGTTTATCGCTTCATGAACACATGGCTCCATGAACTGCCAAAAGCACTTTGGGACAAACTCCATAGAGCCAGGAGGTCTTTCTTAATACCATCTGGCAGCTACTCTGTGCTTACTCTTTGCCCACCTTCTAAAAGTTTAAATGGCTGTGGGGGGAGGAGCAGTTGTCACATGATTGAGTGCCAGTGTTCTAGTATCAGAGGGCCATGGCAGGCCTGGAACAACATCTGGAATGTCCAAAGATAACCCTGTCAATCTCTAGGGGTCACAGGGCATCACTTTCCTCTGCTTCTTTCTCTGTGTGTGTCTCTGTAAGCCAGCCCAATTCTATATTACATTTCCACCAAGTACTATATCCTAAATTCAGCTTATCCAGAGAGATGATATGCTTGATTCAGTTTGGGTCAGCAATCCCCTGTGTGCTAGGCAGAATAATGGCCCTCAAAGATGTCCACTCCTAACCCCTGGAATCTAGGATTATGTTGCTTTACATGGAAAAAAATGGATTTTGTAGATGTGATTCAGTTAAAGGTCTTGAGATGGGAAGGTTAGCTTGGATTATCCAGGTGAACCTAATCTAATCTTATGACTTCTTAAAACTGGAGAGCTTTTCCAGGTTGTGGTCAAAGAGGGAGATGTGTCTACCCACAGACCGTAGACGGCCATGTTTGCTACAGAAGTGTGTTAATTTTCTATTACTGATGTAACAAATTAACACAAGTGCTCTTGAAGGTTAGTGGAAGGCAAGGACTGGCATCTCTAATATAATTATACAGGTAATGATGAGTAGTGCGAAGATGTGACTCCAAAGCCTCGAGAAGGACAGACTAGCATCTCTTTAAGAGATCCAACTGTCTCCTTTTCTCTATGATTCAATAATTTACCTCAATCTAAGAAATAATATTATAACTGGCAGAAAGTATCTTCAGTACAAATTCTTCATTTTGGGGGATAATCATTTGGCAAAATGGGAAGACTAATATTGTTGTAAAGGTTGCTAGAAAAATTGTAACATTTCATGTATGTGCATAAATAACAGTCTTTAAAGCATTTTTGGGGATGGGGTGCAAAATTAAGAGTGGGAGAGGGACTTTAGTAGCAATAAATAGAACTTGAGAATGAAATAGCTATAGAAATAATCTATAGAATATTACAATAAATAGAATAAATTTTAAGTTCCTAGAGGAATTTTTGAAAATACCCACATTCAAAGCCATGAATTCTTACTCAATTAGCATTTCATTTTGATTTTGGTACTGAAGCCAAAGATGTTGAAGGAGCTGAAATGCTTGCTGGACTGGCTGTGGCTGTGGAGCCTGGAATTCTGCCATGAAGAGCATGTGTGAGAGAGCAAAATACTTGTGTACTTTCCTTATGTGAAGGAGTTGGGAAATAATCGAAGAAGCCCAATCCAAAAGCAAAGATGTTCCATCCAGTCTTCTCTGTGAGAGCCAAACTATAAACCATCTGAGTGTTCCAAAAGTGTTTTTTGATGTATTGATATATTTTAAATTATCCTGAAAATGTTCTTGGCAGATGCTTAAGCGTGTAATTACTGAGATGATGTAGAAATGCAAAGTGTTTATTAAAACAATACAGAGTAGTACAAATAGTATGCTTGTCGCAATATAAAACTATCTAAAAACTAAAGAGTTCTTTAATGGTGGAGAGTTTTTTCCTTTTTGAAGTTAAAACATACATTTTTGTAAAAAACACAAATGATTACTATTTATACCTAACATTTATGGAGTGCTGACTATGCTAGCTTTTGAGCATACATTGCCTCATTTAGTGCAATGCTTAGCATTAACTTATGAGGTAAATACCATTGCTGTGCACATTGTACAGATGAAGACACTGAGGTTTAGAGAGATTGCATAAATTTCCCAACGTAACACAGCAAGTAGTGGGGCCAGGATTCCAGGAAGACTAACTCTGGAGTTTAACAACCGAAAGAATAATAATAACTAATATCCTTGTCACTCTCAGCATGTGCCAGTTGCTGTTCCAAATGGTTCAAATTATGTATTCATGTAAACCTCAGAATAACTCTATGAGGTATGTTCTAATATTATTTTCATTTTATAGAGATATATTTTGTATGTGTATGTCAGCCTTAAAGCCGCTTTTGAGTTTTTTAGCATATGTTTTGAGAACATGTCAACTTTATTTCCATTTAAATTGCTTGAGACACAGAATGATTGTTTATATAGTCACTGGAAATTTTATTCCCAGCTGTGTATCTCCCTGGAGTCTATGACTTACTCCCATGTGGGGAGGAGGTGCTTTGCATCTGGACACACCTGCCATCCTGGAGCCTCCCCACCCTCATCCTGGGAATCCCTTCCCTCTCCCCAGGGTGAGAGCGTCAACTTGTCAGATATCACATTTTTCTTTGAATTAATTATCAGTTTGGGGGAACTTCATTAGTTATCTTCTGGAGAAAAGGTACACCAAGGCATACATTTATTGAGCTCTTTTATGTTTCTATTGGATTTCTATTCTGCTGGGATGATTTTCAATTCTCAATTGCCCTCTTCGGCCCCGGAGTGTTGGCAGCTGGGCATGTGTCTTCTAAACAGAAACTTCCAAAATCATCTCTTGAAAAATCTGACCAGCCCAAAAGAAAATACCCACCCTTACTGACTTTATATTCCCCAGCAATTAATCCCACCAGATAGCTCTATAGTGAGTCTCACATGACACAGATGCCACCCATGTTTCAGAGCTTCCCAATAGCTCATTAGTGCCCCATCCTGCAACAGAAGACAACCAAGATCATTAGACACGTGGAGTGATTCTAGCTTTGTAATAGGAAAGATAGAAACATAGCAAAGAAAATAGAAGTTGGAAGAAATAATCCATGAAGTGAAAAAATACAAAATCTTTTTAAAAGCTATTAATATTTGCAAAAAGATATGATATACATGAAAGAAGACTATAATATCATAAAAATCTCTTGAGAATTGAGGCCCGGTGCGGTGACTCACGCCTGTAATCCCAGCACTTTGGGAGGCTGAGGTGAGCAGATCACAAGGTCAGGAGATCGAGACCATCCCGGCTAACACGGTGAAACCCCGTCTCTACTAAAAATAAAAAAAAAAAAAAAAATTAAAAAAAAAAAAATTAGCCTGCCGTGGTGGCGGGCGCCTGTAGTCCCAGCTACTCTGGAGGCTGAGGCGGGAAAATGGCGTGAACCAGGGAGGCGGAGCTTGCAGTGAGCGGAGATCGCGCCACTGCACTCCAGCCTGGGGGACAGAGTGAGACACCTTCTGAAAAAAATAAAATAAATAAAATAAAATAAAATAAATAAAGAAAAAAAAAAAGAAAAAATCAATTTATAAGCCACTTGGGAGATAAAAGGCAAAATCCAGGACTACCCAGGTAACTCTAAGAGCTTGTTTGCATTAATGTTGCAAGTCTGATAGCCAAAAATCTATTTGACCTTGTAATAATTTCATGTTTAATAGCTCCAAAAGTTTTCTATTAAGGCCTATGAGAATTTTCTTACATCCAGACTTATATGTTTGCCATTGATAATCCTAGGTTCCTGAATGATCCAGTAAGAAAAACATTTCTATGACTCTATGAGCAATATCATCCCAAGGCTTTAGAGGTGGCTGTGATAGTTTATATTATTTTGACGTTTATTTGGTCAGAAATATTTTTAAGTAATTAAAATCTCCATTACAATACCTTTAAATTATTTCACAATTACATATACATGTTGGCAGCTAGAATCTTTCATTACTGTTTCTTTATAAGGTAAAAAAGTAATACAATCATAAATCTCATCATAACTGACAATATTGATGTGAAGCTCCTACAAATGATTAAAGAATGTGATTGACATTCTTGAAGAAATTGTTAAAGAAAGTTGATTGTCCTGCCTCTATTCAAGACTTTCAAAAATAGTCTGTAAAGAAATTACATAATTTTGTTCAAAACAGTTATGATTCAAAAGTTAACTTTAGTTCTTCAACTCTTCAGATCCAGTTTCTCAGGGGAACAGCCTGTTTCACACATTTCTATGTCTCCCTGCTCTTATGAACCTATATACTAATAAATAGGAATTTTAATTTGTTTTGTTTTGTCTTCCACAAAAATTGGATCATATAATAACACATTGTTCTGTACCTTGCTTTTTATACTTTCTGATGCATCATAGTAATTTTTCCAGATTTTTAGATACAATTTTTTTTTTTTTTGAAATGAGGACTTGCTTTGTTGCCCAAGCTGTAGTGCGATGGTGCCATCATGGCTCACTGCAACCTGTGCCTCCTGGCTCCAGCGATCCTCCCACCTCAGCCTCCCAAGTAGCTGGGACTACAGTTATGTGCCACTATGCCTGGCTAATTTTTGTGTTTTTTTTGTAGAGACAGGTTTTTGCCATGTTGCCCAGGCTGGTCTCGAACTCTTGAGCTCAAGTGATCCACCTGCCTTGGCCTCCCAAAGCACTGGGGTTACAGGTATGAGCCACCATGCCCAGTCCCCTATTTTTTTTTTTTTATAAGATCAACTTACCATTCAAAATAAGGAGTTATCATCATTCCTTATTCTGTCAATCAGTCAGACAGTTTAAAAATTTTTGTTTCTTCTGCAAGTAAGGCTATAGCTAATGGCCTTGTTTCTATATTCTTATACACAAGTATAATTACAGAGTTGATTCTCAAGTGTGATATTGCTTGGACTATGCATGTTTAAAATTTTAATAAAAATCACAAATTGTTTGTCAGAAACCTACGACAATGCACATTTCTACCAACCGTGTAAGCTAATAGGTAAGCAGTAATATCTCATTTTGCTTTATTTTTTTTTGACCACTTCCAAGGCTCAGTGCCATTTAATATACTATTTTGCCATTTTAATTTCCTCCTCCATGAATTTCCATCATTGTTCATTTTCCTCTTCGGTTGTCTATTTTTAAATGAAAAAGCACCAGGATTTTGGAAATATCTTTTTTTTGGTCATATATATGAAAACATTTTTTCCTTGTCTATATTTTTAAATTATTTTTTAATACCAGAATTTAAATTTTTCTCCATGCTCAGAATTTCATTTCAAATATGTTCATGATATTATTGAAGTCAACCCCCAACTTTATTTGTTTTCATATATCATGAGAAGTCAAAGAATCAAAGCAATATATTCTCACAACCATGCACATTTTCTCCCTGTCTTCTTCATTCCTGTGTCTGTCACTCTGATAATCCTGTTTCAGCACCTATGAAGGCACTTCTGTGCATACTTGGTTACAGACCTAGCCAATAATTTCTACACTGGAATATATATACATATTTTATGTAGGTGTTTGTGCCATTTCTCAGTTACCAATTTTACATTCTGAGTTCACAGCATTTGCCACCCCATCTCTACACTTAAAGCCACCATATAGCTTTTAATTACTTTATACGCATTTTCAGTCATCATCTAAATAATCATTTATAGCCATAAACTAATACTATTTAGTCAAGGAAGTACTTGCGTGAGCAAAAATTACAGATTTCTTGAACATGATTCCAGGAATAGTTCAGTTTTTACAATTAGTAATTGAGCCTTTGTCATATGAAGCAAGAAATCTGCCATTATTTTAAAAAATCAATTGTACATCAACCATAAAGAAATAGTATAAAAGCCATAAAAACACTATCCTTTATTGCAGTAAAATGTGGGACATTTTATATGAGTTCCCAAGAAATTTCTTGTATTTAGAACTCTTGGACCTTCACTACTTGTAAATATGAGTCTATCCTTTACCTTACCATAGCTTTTACCCTAGGGATTTGGTACATTTTATTTAAAAAAGGAAAATGCCGACAGTGAAAATTGAGATAGAAGTAGGAGATTTCAAGCACAGTGGCCCAGCAGGTGTGTGTTCAGGGCAAGTGAAGGTTCCCTTCCACTAGGTTCAATGACTAAAGATTATGAAGATACCAAAAATGCAAGAAGTCACAGGAAATATTTTTCCTCAATGGCAAAGATGACACAGTAGAATGGTTGAGAAGAACAGTTTATTGGCTTCAATTCCCCAGCTGATGTTCAACACTTTATTTAATTCTCACTTGAATTTTAAATTTTTGCTTGAAAAATAATTTCCCATCAATTTCCATTTCTTTAGAAAGCCCCTATGTGTAATTTATTGAATACATCTCTGAAGAGCAGAATTATGATATTTCCCAGCTGTTGCTCCAGATCATGCAGGGTAGAGGAGGATGAAGACTGCTACAAGGGAAGGCATCTCTATTGTTTCAAAACGTCAGGACGGTACGGATACTGCAATAGGAAAGAAGAGACTTGTTAACATTTAGATAACCCACATGCTTCCACGTGAGAGTCCATGGAGCATCTGAGTTGTCTTAGTGAAAATCTGTCTGTGATCCCAGCTACGCTATTTATACATTTGGTTCCAGTCAAAGGAAGTTCATCCTTTTTGGTTTTCTCTTGTTTTTTATTTTTTTATTTTTATTTATTCTCTAATCTGAATCTCACTCACAACATTCTGAATATGCCTGTCATTTAGACTTCAATTCTACATTAGCATCTTCAAAAAATCATTTTTGCATGCCCACGTCCCTAGTGTAATAAGGAATATAAAACAACACTAGATAATAACTTGCAGTTAGTTCTTACTATTTGTCACTTTCTTTCTG